GGGGGGGGGGGGGGGGGAGGCAAATGGGGCACTTGGGACCACATCAAGCACTGGATTTGCTGCTGGGACCTCCCAGAAAATTCATACTGACCTGAGAAAACACAGAAAACCACCACTCAGGAACAGCTCTAATTCTGACAGCACCTCCCACTGAGCAACAAGAGGGATGAGGATGGGGATAGAGTCACAGGTGAGTATGTTCTAACTTCTATTTAGAAGGCCCTCTGTCCACAGATAAGGTCAACCGTAGTGAGGGAGGGGACAGTTTTAGTGGCTTGGGCATGGGGAGAGCAGAGGGTGAGCACTGACTCGCTGCCGAGGAGCAGCTGGCTGCAGGAGACCTTCAGGGGGGAAGGCAGGAGCAGCAGCATAGGACAACGGCCCTGGCTGAAGATAATCCCCAAGGTTGGAATCCCATGGGTCTGCTCAGCTGGCCAGCAAGTCCTGCCGGCAGCCGGGGTCTGACAGGATTATCAAGCACCTATTTCTGTCAATCCAATGGACACCAAGGCAGATCCTGCGAGTGAGGAATGTCCCAGCTTTCAGGAAGGTACTGATACTGGATGGGCAGTGCTGAGGTCTCCAGTAATCTCAGTTTAGATGTTTGCTCTACTGTGCACATTCGTATTTGGTAACTATACAGGAGAGGAGCTAAATATCTCTTGGAGCAAGTTGCAATGTAAGAGAGACTTTTCAAAGGTAGAAACTCAAAACTAGAATATTTCAAAAACTTCCAAAATAAGAGGTGTAAATCCCATAATTTAACTTTTGACCACCTTTAGGTAGACCTATTTAGGTTATGCTGTATACCCTTATTAAATATTCCTGCCATCTATTAAATATTAGTACTGTAAGGTCAGGCCACATTATCATACTGGTCCTTTTTAGCTCTATGAAAATGAAATTAGAGTGTGAGCATTTTCACCATGTTGTTGGCAGGTGGTTATTGAAATAATACTGAGCTTCTTCCAGTAATAAGAGATTTAGCAGTATTAATTTAAAAGTATGTAATTCACTGCTGAGAATGAGAAAGATGTTTTTGAAAACTGTGGTACTTGTCTTGGTTACTCCAAGGACACTAAAAGCCTTTTAACTCATGTAGAGAAAATCAGTGTGTAGCAGGATAAGGTATTTCTTTTATGATGACTTTTTTTCATTCACTTTAAATCCCAGAACTTTTCCATGGAAAGCAGCCTCTCAACACACCAGAATGCAGCTGGATTTAACGACTTCTTTTTTTTGTTTTCTCTTTTTTTCTTCTTACCTCCCCCCTCCCCAAACACACAAACACTAGAAATAAAAATTGTAGTGGAAGTAACCTGAGTTCTGAAAACAAATCCTATGAAGGTTATAGGTGTGTCACTGGTGGGTTTTTTTTTCCTTTAAATCAGCTAGATTAAAATAAATGATGCAATTTTAAAGTCTGTGACTGTTAAACACCCCAAAAGTAACTCTTACAAGGCAACAGCTGTAACTATGTAGCAGTCCTGTAACTGCAACAACAATGCTCCAAATACAGTGTATATATAATATATATCTAATGTTCCCTTCAACACTAAGTTTTATGATGTATTACAGAACAAATTGTAGCCTTTCTGAAGAAATAGAGAGGATTCTGCTTCCTCAGAAGGCAAATACTATTGGAAGCGACAAAACTAAAGAATTCCAAATCATAAGACAAACACTCAGTGATTATCCAGACCAAAAAGTACCTATGGTAAAATCCGAGTTTCTACCTTGCTAAGAGCTGTACGTCTCCCCTTTCCCTCCAATTAAAATCTGTAAGATTTTTTTTTTTTTTAAATTCTGTCAGGTAAATGTGTCTCTGCTTTGCAGTGCTTGTCCTAAATTTGTAAGAGCTTAAAAAAAGCAAACACAAAAAACTCTAACAATTTCAAACCCAAAAATGTTTCAAACACTTTCTTCTCCCTTTTGTCTTGAAGTGTTTGCCAGATTCAACCCACATCTGTAAATAGTTTTAGTCCTCCTTTCCTCTCCCTCCCCTCTATATATAGAATATAGAAAAAATACCTACTTCTGCTCATTTCTCTTTATCCATCCAGGTTTTTACTTGATTCCATCTGTGTCCTGTTTGAGATCTGCATCCCATTTTTTTTCCTGAAATATGCAATGGTAGTTACTAGTGGCTTATATTCCAAGATACAATAGCACTTTTAGGTTAGTGTATTTTACATAATTTTTAAAAGATTAGTTATGATTTGTTTCTCTCCCTGTCCCCCCCCCCCCCCCCCAAAAAAAAAGTGATTGTAAAGAACTATCAAACAATAGAGTAAAATGTGGAATATGATGTCACTTTCATCTTTGATCAACACCGATTCTGCCATTGATTTCTAAAAAATATGTATTTCTACACTAATTACATACATCTTTCTGGAGTTAAAATCTCCAATTTATGGCGAACTGTTCTTTAGTTTTCTTAAAGCAATTGTCTGGTACTGCAGACAGCTCTTTAGGGCTGAATTCCAATTCCCAGATAACCACTGTTGCTTTAAATAGCTGCAAATAGATTTTTAGGACTCATTTTGTAATAATTTTTTTATATCATTCTTCTCTTCTGAGTGTCCTCAAGTTAAAAAGTATCCTCCGAAACACAATTAACTTGTAATGAACATAAAGAAGGAAGCTTTTGCCAGTCAAGTCTTGATAGGAGTATAATATCGGAATAATTTTTTTCCTCTTTAGTATCATTATTGTACTTCTGCCCAACTTCATAAAAGCATGCTCGCTTCCAGATAAAATAGATTATCAATAACAAAATCCCTGTGGACCCTGTAAAGTCTGTTCACATCACTAAGAGTGCTTCCCTTAAAACAGAATTTTTAATTTTCTTTTCTGAACAGCCACCTTCTTAAACTATGTTATAGAGAGAGCGCTAGGGTTGGCCTGAGATTTGCCGGTAGTTATTACGTGCTGATAACCTTACCCTACCTTGAGCTACCAAGTTTGTCTACTATAACAGGAAATCCTGTAAAACCAAACACACTGACGTGATTAAAGGCATATCAAAGTATGGATTTTATTCTCCTAGGTTAAATTTTTACTAAATTCTACAGCTAAAAGGCCTACAAAAAATAGCACAATTAAAATATTTTAAAGTTCTAAGACGATTCATGTTGTGTTTACTGCTAGGTGTGCTACATTTCTTCCACTGTCTTTTGTTACCTTGTCATGGAGCAGCAGGAAAGAGAAATGACTTTTAAAAATATTGGGGAAAAAGAACCATCATAAAGTGATATGGGGACTTAAGTCTGACAAATGTCAGAAAAAGCTCAAACAAATTACCAACATCAAGCTACTGTTTAAATGTTAATGCTATTAAAGAACAGAAAAGGGAACACAAAATCTTCTGATAAGAAAGCTAGGGACTGCCACCAAGAATAACTTCTGCTGTTTTCCTGTTGCTTCAATACACTTTCTTCATTTAGTTTAGGTTTAAGTGAGATTTAGGTCCAGCTACCAGTCTCTTTTCAATTGCATGGATTTCTATTTTATTTTTTTCATAAAGTAATGCCTTATTTAAAACAATAACAGCAACAAACCCCAACAGCTGAAATGAGAGTGCTGGCAGATTTCTCTGCTAAAGCTGCAGAATATTCCCTTCAGCCTTTCTTTTCTTTTGGCACAGTACCTGTGTTCGCAGAAACTGCACCTCTTCTGTCAGCAGCTGCTTCTCTTTGAAGAGCTGATTCTGTTTGTTGAGCAACTCCACTAACTGCTGGGCAGTGGCCTGGCAGTGCTTGTCAAGCTGCTGTAACCTGGAAAAAATAGATAAAAGGGTTGCAGAGCATCTGAAGTTGGAGTTCACGGTAGAAGCTTTGATGTTTGCACTGGCGGGCGCAGCTCCCAGATGACAGAGCTCGGTCTGGTGGTTGGGCTGAGACTAAAGTATTATTGTTAGGATGGGCATTCAATACATGTTATCTATCTTCACACTTTAAACGAGCACTTTTAAAGGTTTGCACTTCTATTGTAGAAGCCTTATTGAGACATGACAGCAAATTTGCTTTGCCATTAAATGACATCAGTAAAGACTGCAGGACCGCATCCTGATACCTGTAACTACGCAAGCTGCACACACTGCAGCTGCTGCAATAACCAGCCTCCTGAAGCACACACACTAGCCCAAATTATAAATCCAAATATCTCAACCCTCTGATAAACTGGACCTAAAGACCTTTTGTTTCTGTCCAGTGCTCATTGCAACCTGGTCAATGCCTAAAACTTGACAGAGAATGCAACATTCTTTCAAGTCAGCTTAGTGTTAATTAAATGTCAGTGTAGATCCTTTAATAGTGAACGGAGGATTCCTGGAGGAGGGTGTAAAGAGCCCATCACTCCAAAGGTCCTCCTCATCAGGGGCTGCTAAACAGAGGGAACAAGGTGGCAGGTACCAGAAGCAGCACACAGAGGCACTTTGCTTACACTGAAAACACAAGTGCCCAGGTTGGGACAACACTGCTGTGGACAGGCCAACCGCACCTTTGCTACTTTAATCACAAAACCTGGTATGGCTTGTTATGTCCCCAGTGACTGTTTATTCCTCTTGCCATGAAAAAAATTAAAAAGTCTGCTTGGGATCTGTAGCAAGGGATGCAATCTCAAATAAGCTGGAAATGGTGTTTTTACATTAAATACAATTGCACTCTTTAAATGGAAATGTCTTTAATTAGAAGTCCTTTTAGATATCTTAGAGGCTTTCTTGTCCTTAGATAACAGTAGTCTTGAGAAAAACTTACACATCTAGACCCTATGCACTTAGGGAGCATGAACTGACTCTGGTTTTATCAAGGCGAATTCTGGATCTAAACTTTGCACTTGCTTTTGTAAACTATTTCTTGCTCAACATATTGAAAGACAGCTTCAGCTGAACAAGGTTTTTAGGTTGCATCTCTCATGCAGGCAGTGTTTTAATGGAATTAGTTCTACGCTTACAATAAGGCATGTGATTTTCTGAATCTTTCTACTTTCAGCTCCATGTGGTAGTTTTGACTTGTACAGCTGTCATAACTCGGCTAAGCTAATGACTCTGAATATTCACATTCTTAATCAGGATTGTTCAAATAACTGCATGAGTAAACACCCCCAAATTTCTTGATAAAAAGCTAGTAAAATCTAGCTGAAATAAAATTGCCAAAATCCATGTCAAAACTAGTATTTACTGATCTGTATCAGCCAGCCAACTTCCTTGAAATCAAACTGCAACAATCATGTAGCAATCACTGAACGCCCATATTTCAATAGTGCCCTGTTACTCTGCTAACATGTCCTTGGAAAAGGGATTTGAGGAGCTGCAGGACCCCCTCCTGGGATTCGGAACAAAACTAAAAGCAGCTATACCTGCAAAACAGTGACAGCTGGCTGTAAACATGCAACAAAGCAAACAAAACCACCACTTTGATAACACAGGGTATTCCACTAAATACACACTTCAATGCTCTGTGTCTAATTTCACACTCCCTATACCTTCCAAACTATACCATGTTGGTACAGGGGCTCTTTATGCTTAATTTCTTTACTGAAGGTGATGTCAGGGGTGTTAAACTTAAAAAAAAAAAAAAAAAAAAAACAAACAGTGACAGCTGGCTGTAAACATGCAACAAAGCAAACAAAACCACCACTTTGATAACACAGGGTATTCCACTAAATACACACTTCAATGCTCTGTGTCTAATTTCACACTCCCTATACCTTCCAAACTATACCATGTTGGTACAGGGGCTCTTTATGCTTAATTTCTTTACTGAAGGTGATGTCAGGGGTGTTAAACTTAAAAAAAAAAAAAAAACAACAAACCAAAGCAAAACTCCCCAACACAAACAAAACCCCACCTTTGTACTCTTCTTTGTTTTGTTTTTAAAGACAGTAGCTTTTCCATGAACATCTTGCTCCCAAGGAGTGCAAGAACAAGGGTGGTGTTTGCTGGAGGCAACATCAGAGTTTCAGACTGGACAGACAAGTTACGCTCACTACTTTGCCATTGATTTCCTTTACCTTGAGGAAGATGTGACCTTACTGCACATCTTGATTTGTAATAAAGCCATCTTCCAGTCCTTTATTTCTAGACTACTTACTACTTTATAGCAGTACTGGTAGGGAGAATAACTGGGAACTGCTGTCTTCACACAGCCAAGGGAAGAACTCCAGCAGTGCCCTACCTATTTAGAGCCTTGAGGCTATGAAATCCTCCTCATGCACTCCTCAACAACTACCAACTACAGATTGGATTCAGGCCCTTAGAATTTAAGTGTCTGCTGATTTCTACATTCAATTAATAATTTTCCCATTGTGCTAGTGTTTCAGTCTGTTTTAAGAACAATCGCAGTCTTTGAGAGACTCTCTTGCACGGAAGTATTATTACTGGCAGCTAAGACACAGGTAAGTAGGTGAACCCCTTGACCCACCTCTTTGCAGCAACACGATGAGCGTCGCCCATGGCTGCTGTAGGGCCTGTTCCAGCTGCAAGAGCCAAGGCTGCTGGTGCAGCGCTGAGGAGAGTCCCTTCCCTGGCCTGCCCCTCCTCTCACGGGAAGAAGGCTGCAGCTGAAGAGCCACCACTTCAGTGCGAGGAACTTCCTCCAGTTCTGGCACCCAGAGAGAAGCCATTTCCAGCTCATGTGAATTTTACATCAAAACAACACTTTCTACTAGATACTCACAGGCAGCCCATGCATATTTCAAAAACATTATTGGATACAAGCCTTAGTGCGCTCTACTGTAAAGCTCTACATCCTTTCAGATCATGCAAAGGGTGATTCAGAGAAACTACTGTAAACAGAAAAGTCTTTAATTATGGCAATAGTACTCAATTATGCTTTTGTCTTGTAACCTCACTGCCCACTGTGTTGCATTCAGCCTGTCCTCTTGAGCAGAGGAGGGAGAAAGCTGACACAGCAGGCCACAACTTCACTTTTACTGTCCGTATCTATCTCCAGTGCTTAAATACAAGAATAACATTCCTTTTGATAATTCTGGGTCGCAATGGATAAAGAGGGAGTAGTTCTAGTTAGCGCAAATCTCGGTCCGTGAATTCCCAAATTCTGTCTACCAGTCTGCTCTCCCAAAACTGCTGCCAAGCTGGCCCTTGGTGCGCACGCTGGGACTACCAGCCTGCTCCAGTGCATTCAGCTCCCGAGGACAGGCTCTGGGCCCTCTCACAGTATCTGCTATTACGTGTGACATGTGCAGCACAGCCACACATTCCCATATGCATTGTATCTGGCCTGCCTGCTGATCTCGTAAATGATTCAAGATGAGAAATGAACAGCTCCACCCACATTCACTGTACTTCCCATATGTTACAACTGCACATCGATGCCTGCCATCATTTTTACAACTGGGTGACAGAACCTTCTGCACATTTTGCTAATACGAATGAGTGAGTGGGGTTGCACGGTCGCCACGTTCACTTTGGCAACATCACCTACCAGGCAAATGTGTACTGCGTCCTGAGCATCCAAGTGGCCACCCTCCATTCCAAATGAGATCATTTTTCCACCAAAGTGGCAAGATCTGTCCAGTTGGGATGTCGGGTGGCTGCTCCTCCTTGGCCTGGGAGCGCTGAAGGGCAGGAACCGACTCCATGTTCTGTCACGTTACTTCAAGGCACAAGATGAAAACGTGTAGCTCTTGAACCACATTACATTTGGGCTACTTACAAGGCAACCTGGCACTAAGAAGTAAGCTCCCATTTAGTAATAATATTACCCTTAACATAATCTTCCATTAACTCTAAACTAAAATTCCTATTTCTATATGGAGGCGGGTAAGAGGCAGTTTCATGAGACAAGTGGTTCCACAGAAGGAGAACAAAACTGAGACATCACAAGCTATAATGAATGCTTCAAGGTAAACATTTTGCTCTGATCTTCAGTACTTGGAGCTCATATGTAGCTTTTATGCTAGAATGGCCCCACGCTACCTTGTTACCTTATGCAGCTACACCCTGCAGAAGGCTACATCTCTCACTCCACACAGCAGTAAGATTTGGATCTGAGACGAGGTTATGCCATAGTCTGCACAGAAATGAAATGGAAAGGGTTAAACAGGTTTTGTTCCATTTCGACAACTATGGGTAGACAATCACTGCAAGACCCTGCAGAAACTATGTGAGATGTCAATCATAAAGCACAGCTTTGGCACCAAGGTGGATTCTAGCCAGCACAATAAACTTCCACTGCATCCAACACCACACAGCTGGACTAGCACCCACCGTGCTACATTTAGATTGTCCCCTTGCCTGCGGCCTACAGACAAAACCAAAAGCTTCCATCTTTTCTACAAAGACACCTTGCCAACGCAGGGCTCCCACAAGGCTCCTGCTGCAAACTCCCTGCCCTGGGGGACTCACTGGCCCATTAATCCATAGGCAACTGCGAGCAGTGAAGGGACAAGCTGGTACAACCTGTCAGCCCTCCCCTGGGTTTTAAAGTTGATTTGAAATAAATTAATATGCAAGGATCTGCGGGCAGTGTCCATCCACCCAGCAGTGGGGATCAGTCCTTGACATAGCAGAGGCATTAAAAGGTTATTTACTCTTTCAGCACAGTCAGGTTACTGATGTAAAGTGTTTTCACTCTGCTTCACGGAGCTGAATTTGCTGAAATGGTGTGATTGGATTGCAGCAACCTGCAGCAGCTAAATCACCAAATCCAATAACCATGCTGCATTTACTGGCACACATCTTAATTAGGTTTTAATACAAGTAATCTGATAACTACTTCTGGCCAGCCAGAGCAGAGCTGTCAGAGCTGAAAGG